AACAGGACCCCTCAGAGGATGTCGGAGGCCTGGTATACGGGTTCGGCCCGATCCTTGCAGGCCAGGCTGAGGGACCCCACTGGTGCACACATCCGTGCACTGGGCCTCTAATATGCATATAAGATCTTTGGTTAATCTCTCCCCGCTTCCCTCTGAGATTCATCAGTCTGTTCCATGTTTTCATGTCTGTGCCTCCTGGTGTTCAGTGCGCGTCATAGCTACGGGTCGAATCGTTGAACAGTCGTTTAGGCTTTTATATATATAGATTATGCATATAAATACATGTTTATGTGATAACTATAAATATTTCACTGAGAGGCCAAGTCCATCCCGAGAGCAGAGCATGTATCAGGGAGAGCAGGGTGGGGTGGGCTGTGGGGACTTCAGAGTCCGACGCCTGTGGTCACTGAGTTGGGCTCCGGTGGGCGGGTGCCCTGGGGCCGAGTGCTGCTCCCAGGCAGCTGTGTTTGGACACTAGTTGGGCGACGCTGACTTAGGGGTGCGTCCATCGAGTTCTCATTTAGGGCGAATATCCCATCGTGTCTCTTGCAGAGAGTTATTGAGTGTGGAGCTCTGGAGGCAGGCAGGTGGGTGTCCCCTCTAGAGACGGGGCCCCAGGACGACTGCAGCCCCGCCGATCCCAGATGCATCCCAGTCCTTTAAGAAGCGTGTCCACTGGAAAAAAAATAAAATAAAAAGCGGTGCGTGCCCCAAGCGGGGCTGTCTGGGCCATGCAGTGAGCGCCCTCCCACCTGGGCCCATTTGCGATCCGCGGTTCATCAGCACCTGCGGGGTGTTGTGTCTGGTCCTGTGGTGGCTCATGGGGCTCGTTCACATTTTCAACGTCTTGGCTCCCCTGTGGCCCGAGGAGGGATCCTCCCTCCGTCCCCTGGGTCACCCTCTGCCCCAGCCACTGGCCACGCAGTGGGCCTGCACCGCCAGTTAGTAGGCCATATCTCGGCACCAGGCTCCATTAGGACATGGTCTCTGTTAGCGTGTGCTGTGTCTTGGGCTTGAGCTGCCTCTAAATTCACCTGTCAAGTGAGCCTGGTCTCCCCAGGCCTCCTGAGCAAGGCACCTGTCAACTCCCACTTCCCTCCCAATTTGACTTTTCTTCTCTTGACATGTATCTCTTTTATGCAATATTTTGTTTTAAAAAAATAAGAGAGGAAGCAGTTTAAGTGCAGGTAGAAGCGCCCGGTGTCTTTCTCACTCTGTGAGAGCTGCCTGTGCTGTCGGCGGTTACCGCGTGTAGATTTGGGGGGCGTGCTCAGGGTGCCGGTCCATGTCCTCGCTCCCTGACTGACTCTGTGACCCCTGGTTCTCATTTATTTTGCACAGGCTCCGCCATCACTTTCCTCGCCCATAGCTAATGAGCCAAAATATGAGAAGCGCTGGCTAGACTCCTGGTCAGTTCCTCTGTGTATGGCCCGCATCTCCAGGTCCCAGGCCGGAACGCAGACGTTAAGGTGTGTGCCCGTGGCCCGAGTGGGAAGAGCTGACCCCCGCACACGTCCTCCTGTTCTGAGTCATCCCTGGACCAGGCTCACTGTCCCGACCTGGTGCATGGGACCGTCTTCTGGCGGAGGCGCCTTTGGGGAAACACAGCCAGAACAGGCGCCGCCTCACGGGCGCTCGATTGTGTCTCGGGCGGAGTTTGTGGATGACTGAGCGTCTGGTGGAATTTAGCAGCGAAGCCCTCGGGGCCTCCACTTCTCTTGTCGTTAGTCTCTTGGTTATTCAGACACTTTGCTGTAATGTTGTCCGCTCAGATGTCTTCCGGACGCGGTTCAACAGTTTCTCTCTAGGATTTATTTCCCAGTTCACGTAAGTTTCGCATGGACTGGTTCACAGTCATCCACAGAAACCCTTTATCACCCTCCTCGCTCGACATCGATAGACCCACCTCCTCTTCCATTTCTTGTCTCGCACTTGAGTCTTCCTTCTTTTCCTTTTTTGGTAAATCTGGCTCAGGTTTGTCGATCTTGCCGATCTTTTTAAGAACCAGACCTTGTTCACATTGGTTTTCTCTCTTCTCTTCTGTTTCGTGAATCCTGTGTGTCCTCCCTTCTGTGGAAAGTGGGAATGAATTGAGGTCCTTGGTCTCCCATCATCCAGGCGTTTCGGTGCCTCTTCTCATAAAGACTCTGGTCCCATTAGATCTGGACCCTCGGGCCCTCACTTCACCTTAACTCTTCCCTTAGAGGCCCCGTCTCCAAGGACACCACACGGGGGTCAGGGCTTCCGCATAGGAATCTGGGATTCCTCACCTGAGTCCACAGGAGCCCGTGTGAGTGATAGTTGAGGAAGGCTGTGCGTGCTAGGGAAGCCTATTTAGCCAGAGACGGTTATTCCCGGGGGGTAGGCTGCTGGCAGGTGACTTTCAGGGAGGAAAGGTGGGAGCACCGACTTCGCAAGCTCGGTCGTAACAAATGTACGTGTGGTCACAGCTTCACCGTGGACTTCACCTCAGGATTCTCCTGCTGCAGGACACAGGTGAGGGGCACAAGGGGTGGGACCAGCATCCTGGGCCGGAAGGGAGGGTCGGAGAGAAAGCCATGTGAGGACCGTTCTGTGGCCGGAGGATGGGAAGGTGGGAATCTGGTGAGCTCTCACCTGCCCGGCCTAGAGAAGCCAGTGTCTGCGTTCTTATGTAGACGACACGATGTGTGAGTCGAGGTGACGACACGTGGGCTGTGGTTTCTGATCTCTGGTTCCCTCGTTCCCTCGCAGACCATACTGTGGAGCTTTAGGTTCTCCCGGCTGCGGGTTGTCCGACGACGGGAAGGCCCCCTCAGGCTGCTCTTCCAGCACCTCCACACCCGACTGGTGGAGACGAAGGTAAGGACTCAGCTCCCTCTGCACCAGCCGCCCACCTCATAGCACAGAGACAGGCGAAAGCTTGCCCACCCACACCCACACCTGCATACACTCACACACCTGCACACACCCACCTGCACGCACACAACTGTACACCTACCCACATCCACACCCACACCTGCATCCACTCACACACCTGCACACACACACCTGCACGCACACAACTGTACACCTACACACATCCACACCCACACCTGCATACACTCACACACCTGCACACACACCCCTGCACGCACACAACTGTACACCTACCCACATCCACACCCACACCTGCATCCACTCACACACCTGCACACACACCCCTGCACGCACACAACTGTACACCTACCCACATCCACACCCACACCTGCATCCACTCACACACCTGCACACACACCCCTGCACGCACACAACTGTACACCTACCCACATCCACACCCACACCTGCATCCACTCACACACCTGCACACACACCCCTGCACGCACACAACTGTACACCTACACACACCCACACCCACACCTGCATACACTCACGCACCTGCACACCTACACACACACACCTGCACGCACACACCTGCACGCACACAACTGTACACCTACACACCCCCACACCCACACCTGCATACACTCACACACCTGCACACACCCACCTGCACGCACACAACTGTACACCTACACACCCCCACACCCACACCTGCATACACTCACACACCTGCACACACCCACCTGCACGCACACAACTGTACACCTACACACCCCCACACCCACACCTGCATACACTCACACACCTGCACACACCCACCTGCACGCACACAACTGTACACCTACACACCCCCACACCCACACCTGCATACACTCACACACCTGCACACCTACACACACACCTGCACGCACACACACCTGCACACACATACCTGCACACCTACACACACATACCTGCATGCACACACCCATATGCACACCTGCATGCACACCTGCATGCACAGACATGCACACACACATGCACACCCCAGACACCTGCACATGCACACACCCGCCCACACACAACTGCATACCTACACACACACCTGCACGCACACCTGCACGCACACACACCTACATGCACACCTGCATGCGCACACACATGCACATCCCCCACACGCCTGCACACACATACACGCAACTGCATGCACAGTCAACCACACACATACCTGCATGCACACCCACACACACAGATACACACACACACACCTGCACACACAGTCCCTCCACACACACCTGTACACCTATACACTTAAATACCTGCATGCACACACACCTGCACACACTCGCACACACATCTGCACGCACTCACACACAACACACACCTGCACACACTCACACACACACAGACACCTGCATGCATTCATATACCTGCACACACACACACCTGCACACATACATACACACTCACCTGCCTCCTTTCCTGTGTCCTGGGGCCTGAGTCACCCGACCTGGTTGGCTGTGGCCACGTGTCCCTGATGCTCACACCCACTTGTTCCACTCTGTCTTTCCTGCAGGAGCTGGAGTTCCTGGACCTCACGGCCGTCCTGCACTGCGTCCACGCCTTCCTCGTGGCCAAGGTTGCCTCCCTGGACCCCGGCTTTGCGGGCAGCCAGGGCCTCACCAGGAAGCCCCCAGGCAGCAGCTGAGCACTCGGTCAAGGACGAGAATTAAATTATTTTCTTAAGAGACGAAACTTTGCCGCCCAGCATTGGAGCTCTGTGGCTTCATAATGAGCCTACGGTTGTGATACCAGGCTTGTTATAGCATAGAAAGGATTGTTACCTCATAGGCCTGTTTCCAGCCACAGGCATCCTCGTTAGAGGGACGGTCCCACAGGACGCACGCGCGGCTGTGGCTGGGGCCCTGGCCCGTGAATCGCCACATCCCTGCATCCCTCCGGGCCCTGCGAGGGGTGAGCCCACATGCACCATGTCCCTCGCTGGCCACACCTGGGTTTCCTTCCACGGAGTGACGGGACCGAGAGCCCCCCCCAACTCCCCTGCTTCCCTCTCCCTGGAGAGGAAGTGCTTCCTGGGGTCGGGCGTCTCCTCCCCTGCGCCCAGGAGGAGGCAGAGCCAGGGGTGAACTGGGCTGTGAGCAGCAGGACTGTGGGGATGGGAGTCAATTTTTGTATCAAACATGACAAATGAGTTACAGTGGCATTAAGTAACGCGTCATTTAAAGGTTATTATTATTGTTGTTGTTTTTGTTAATCCTCACCGGAGAACATTTTTTCCCCATTGATTTTGTTTTATTTATTTTCTATTTTTTAAAAAATATTTTTTATTGATTTCAGAGAGGAAGGGAGAGAGAGAGAGAGAGATAGAAACATCAATGATGAGAGAGAATCATGGATTGGCTGCCTCCTGCATACCCCTCACTGGGGATCGAGCCCACAACCCAGGCATGTGCCCTTGACTGGAATCGAACCCCGGACCCTTCAGTCCATAGGCCACCGCTCTATCCACTGAGCTACACCAGCCAGGGCTAGAAGATGTATTTGTATTGTGGCAGCAACCAAACAGAAAATGCTGAGTTAGGCTGTGGGAGAAAAGGGTGTATATTTTCTTTGTGCCCAATAGTAAGTGTAGACCACAGTAAGACTTCAGAGGTCCCCGTCCCCCCACCTCGGGGAGCCCTGGGGTGTGTTGAAGCCCAGTGGTGTCCAGGCGTCTGCCCCCTGGGAGAACACGCCCCCCTCTTCCCCCGAGGACCTCACTGCTGTGTGACGCCCG